GCCAGCTGCTCCTCCTCCTCCTCCTCCTCCTCCTCCTCCTCCTCCTCCTCCTCCTCCTCACTCTCCTCCTCCTCCGCCTCCGCCTCCGCCTCCTCCTCCGCCTCCGCCTCCTCATCCTCCTCCTCCTCCTCCACGGCGTCAGCCCCACGGCGATGCGTGCAGCGCGCAGACGCTACGCCCAGGCGCTCAGGAAAAGTCGGCCTGGACGCTGCCTCGCTACCTTACTGGCGCTGGAAGGGGCCGACCCCAAGGAGGCAATCACAAAGGGACAGCTCAAGGCCTGGTTCGACGTGTGGAGCAGGTGCCCAGACATCAGGACGCAGGCGCGCAAGGCATGGCCCAAGGTCGATTGCAGACTCTTCAACACCATGGAGTCGAAGCGCTGGCAGCAAAGGCGCGGGGTCATGGGCAGTATCACCATGTTGCTCTGGTCCGCAGGCTGGGACTCGAGGGGGGCCGACATTTGGATTCACAAGCAAGGAGGCATGTGGCGGTACCCCGAAGGCCAAGAGGAAGGAGAGGCAGGCGACATCATCGAGGCGCTGCTACGAGACGTCCGAGAACAGCAATGGCAAGAAGCAGCAGCCCGCAACAACGGCAAAGGCGCCGAAAGGGGCATCAACTGCAAGGACATCATACACCACCTGGAAAACTACAAGAAAAGAGAACAGCACCAGCAGTACGGAGCGCTGGTCACAGCGGCCTGCGCAGGCACGTGGACTCGGGCACGGCGAGCGGCCGCCTTCGGCGACAACGACAACAGGTGTGAGTGCGGCGCTGTCGACACCGACCTCCACCGCATCGGGGAGGACTGCGCCGCCCGCAAGCCCAACGAGATCTACGAGAAGACTCAAGGACTCGCTGAGAGGGCACTCCAAGAGGCGGAGGAGAACCCGATCTTTTTGGCTGAGGGGACTGACGCCGTCTGCTTGGACCACCCCACCACCGTGCGACACCACAGAGGAAGAGGCGGAGACGCTGGGCACGGCCCGGAGATGGCCTGGTCCGCCCAGCACCAGGAACCAGGAGAATGGCTAGAAGCATGTGGAGACGGATCAGGGCGCGAGTACAGCAGCGACGACAGATACCGCAGATGTGGCTGGAGTTGGGTGATAGTGAACAACGACACCGCCAACGTGAACAACTACGACGTAACCGCTGGACAGTTCGGAGTACTTCCAGGAGGCCGTCAAACCAACAACCGCGCGGAGCTGTACGCGCTGATCAGATGCCTCTCAGCCACGCGAGGCCCCATCACCTACTGGGCGGACAGCGGGATCACATTCATCGACTGGCAGATGCGAAGGGACCAGTCGGAGTTGCAGACGGGCACCAACAGCGACCTCTGGCGGAAACTCAACTGCACGATCCAGGAACGAGGAGACCGAAGCGACATCACAATCAAGCACATGAATAGCCACATGACAGAGGAGGAAGCGGCCGCCAAGAACGTCCCCAAGGCCGCATGGGAAGGTAACGAGCACGCAGACCGCCTGACGGAACGAGGAGCGCTTCGGCACGCCATTCCGCGTAACGAGATGAGCTGCTACGAATGAGCGCGGGCAACTGCGACCTTGGTGCGGAAGAGGATTACCATCGCCACCATGGACTGCATCGAACGGAGACCAGGAGAAGGACGCGAAGTTCGTGCAGCACGACGGCAGGCAATACAGGAATCCAGGCGGCAGCTCCGCTGCAAGCGACACTATTTCGACGACATTGAGAAGACCAGACAGATGACTACCCACACGCTTCAGCGTCCGAGGCGCGGCACTGGGTGGACGTGCAGCTGCTGCAACCAGTCGGTCTCAAAACACACGGACCTGGACGTGATCAAGAAGTGGTTCGCAAACGGGTGCTCCGGGCCGCCGCCAGAACACGGGTGCGAGATCATGTACCACGGCACGGCAGCGCACTCCACACACCCGTTGCGGTGGATCGCACGCCAGAAGAGATGGTACTGCAGACTCTGCGCCAGCTCGGTCACGGAGTTCACCAGCACGAAGTTGCAGGCACCATGCACAGGACAACCCAGCTGCGACTCCATGGGATACAAACTCAAGCACTGGGAGCAGCATGCCGACACAGAGAAGTGGCAAGCTCGTGACATGAACGCGGACCTGGCGAAGCACGAGGAAAACCCCGAGGTCGGAAGTGCCCCGTCCTCGCCATCAAGAGCGGCGGAGACACAAGTGGCTCCCTGCACCGAGGGAACGGAGAAGCTCGAGGCGACAAGCGGGAACTCAGAGCAGCAGGACGAGATCAGGGTTGCGAACCTGGCATACCGCCTAATCCAGTCCGCGACAAAGCCGTCCGACGACCACCTGCAGTGCCCAGAGCCCACGCCGCTCAAGGACCAGCGGAGCATAGACAAGGTAAAGTTCACGCACACGAACGGCATCATGCGGAGCATAGACAAGGTAAAGTACACGAACGCCCTCGAGGGCAACCAGCAGAACATAGACAAGGCGAAGTACACGGAAGCCTCGGACGGTGGGAGTCGGACCGTACCTAACCCACCGCCCGAAGAAAAGAAAAGACATGCCTACCGCCACTACGAGAAGCGCTACTCGCTGATGGAGCTGGTCGAGCAAGCGTGTAAGCCGCCGCGAGAGCCTCGCGGAGCTGGAGGCAGAGGCGCAGAGCTGGCAGCCGCGGAGGGCCCGCAGGCGACATCGAGCTGGCCGCGCAAGCATGAACCGAGGGTCCGCGAGGCGGCGCAGGCAGGGCCTCCGCAGCAGGAGAGGAGACAGGATGTCCTCCGCACCGAGAAAGCGGAGCAGCGCGAGGCGGCATGCGGAATCACACCGCAGCAGGACGAGAACAGGATCGCGGACCTGGCATACCACCTCATCCAGACCGCGACCAGGCCGCTCGACAACCACCTGCAGAGCCCAGAGCCCGCGCCACTCGTGGACCGGCTGAACATAGACAAGGGAAAGTACGCGAACCCGAGCGGCGTCCAGCAGAAAATCCACAAGGTAAAGTGCACGAACATCCAAAGGGCATCCTGCAGGACATTGACAAGGTCAAGTACACGGAAGCCTCGGGCGGTGGGAGACGGACTGTACCTAACCCACCGTCCGAGGGGAAGAACCGACGCGACCACCTCCGCCACGAGAACAGCCTCTCGCTGATGGAGCTGGTCGATCTGGCGCGTAAGCCGCTGGCTGCCGCAGAGGGCCCGCAGGCGACCTCGAGCTGGCCCCGCAGGCCTGAGCCGAGGGGCCGCGCGGCGGCGCCTGCGGGGCCTCCGCCGCAGGAGAAACAGGCGCCATCGGCGCCCAGGGAAGAGCTGCGGAGGAGCTCCTGCTGCTCCTCCTCCTCCTCCTCCCTCCCTCCCTCCCTCCCTCCCTCCCTCCCTCCCTCCCTCCCTCCCCTCCTCCCTCCCCTCCTCCTCCTCCTCCTCCTCCTCCTCCTCCTCCTCCTCCTCCTCCTCCACCCCTCCTCCTCCTCCTCCTCTTCCTCCTCCCACCTCCTCCTCCTCCTCCCTCCCCCTCCCTTCTCCCTTCTCCCTCCTCCCTCCTCCCTCCTCCCCCTTCCCTCCTCCTCCTCCTCCTCCTCCTCCGCCTCCTCCTCCTCCTCCTCCTCCTCCTCCTCCTCCTCCTCCTCCTCCTCCGCCTCCGCCTCCGCCTCCTCCCCCTCCTCCTCCTCCTCCTCCTCCTCCTCCTCCTCCTCCTCCTCCTCCTCCGCCTCCGCCTCCGCCTCCGCCTCCGCCTCCTCCGCCTCCCCTCCTCCTCCTCTTCCTCCTCCTCCTCCTCCTCCTCCTCCTCCTCCCTCCTCCTCCTCCTCCTCCTCCTCCTCCTCCTCCCTCCTCCTCCTCCTCCTCCTCCTCCTCCCCTCCTCCTCCTCCTCCTCCTCCTCCTCCTCCCTCCTCCTCCTCCTCCTCCTCCTCCTCCTCCTCCTCCTCCTCCTCCTCCTCCTCCTCCTATCCCAACGGCCTCGAGATCTGATGTTGCAGGCTCCTCGGAAAGGCGAACGGCGCTGGCCGGAGAGACGAGGCGTGGGCCAGAGGGAGGAGAGAGGAGGAGGGAGGGAGGCGCAGGAAGATGACGACGACGCCGACGAGGCGAACGGCGAGGAAGCGGAGAGAGCAGGACAAGGAGGGAAGAGGACGGACAGGGGTGATGGACGAGGTCGGAGGGGGACGGGGGGAAGTGGATGAAAGACGGGGAGACTTGGGAGGACTGTAGGGAAGCCGCCGACAACCCACCATGACAACAGCCGGCTTGACAGAGCACTCAGCTGACGGCCATGAGGGAGAGGGGCCCTGATGGAAAAGAGGCTCGGGGGCCCTGGGGGTCCGCCACCTCTGGCCCCATTGGGGCCCTTCCCAAGCCCAGGGCTTCAAAATGAGCTACGATGAAAGACGGGTCCCTCCTCCTCCTCCTCCTCCTCCTCCTCCTCCTCCTTCTCCTTCTCCTCCTCCTTCTCCTCATCCTCCTCCTCTTCTCCTTATCCAAAAAGCCCTCAGGACCCTTCCACCACGAGCGGAGGAATGGTCACCGATGTCAACCCACAGCAAGCAATGGTCGCAGCTCTGGGAATCACTGGGCCCTTCTCAAGAGAGCGGCCACCTGGAACAGCTCTTTCACCAGGCTGGAGCCAGCGCCGGCGTACCTCTGGTTGAAGTCCGCTCCCGAGCGGGAGATGAACGGCACGGCGGCCTCTCGCTGGCACGCGCCAGCCGACGAGGGATCAGTGGGGAACGCAGGAGGATCGAGGTTCGAGGAGGCAGGTTCGAAGATCGAGGTTCACGAACGGTTTTCACCTGCGTGGCTCTCTGAAGCCTCCGAAACCTCCGCGGGGACCTGCGGAGGCCTCCAAGGACCACCGGGATCCCCAAGGTGCGGACTTCGGCCTGCACGGTGGCCCGCCGGCCCTCGGAGGAGGGGGGGTGGGGGACGAGGAGGAGGCGGGGGGAGGAGGAGGAGGAGGAGGAGGAGGAGGAGGAGGAGGAGAGAGGGAGGAGGAGAGGAGGAGGAGGAGGAGGCGGAGGAGGAGGGAGGAGAGGGGGACGAGGAGGAGGAGGCGGAGAGGAGGAGGAGAGGAGGGGACGAGGAGGAGGAGGAGGAGGAGGGGGAAGAGGAGGAGGAGGAGGAGGAGGAGGAGGAGGAGGAGGAGGAGGCGGAGGAGGAGGAGGAGAGGAGGAGGAGAGGGGACGAGAGGAGGAAGGAGGAGGAGGAGGGGGGACGAGGAGGAGGAGGAGGAGGAGGAGGAGGGGGGGGAGGAGGAGGAGGGAGGAGGAGGAGGAGGAGGAGGAGGAGGAGGAGGAGAGGAGGAGGAGGGGGAGGAGGAGGAGGAGGAGGGGGGAAGAGGGGGGAAGAGGGGGGGGGATGAGGAGGAAGACGATGAGGTCCCTCGGCAGGCGGTGGACATGCAGACACAGTCGACGTGGATCAAGAACCTGGACCCCTTGGCCGGGAGCCAGAGGCCCCTTCGGGACATCCAGAACGAAGAGCACCCCAAGGTTCGAGAGCCCAGCGGCGAAGAACACAAGGATACCCCTCCAAAACCGTGAATGCTCTGACGCCCTCGTGCCAGCTGCAGCTGGCCCCCTCCCCCAGGGCCCGCACATATCCGGATCCACCGCCAGCCGAAGTCGCTGAAGTCCGATCCCCTGGGCGGCTGTTCTGGATGTGCGCATCCCCCACCTCCCCTGAGATCTGGCGTTGCCAAGCAATTGCAACGTCGCACAAAAAAGACGACCAGAGCCCCCAAGAAGCTCCCGAGAGGCCCCTTTCAAACGGTTCCCCAGAGGCCCCCGAGAGCGCTTCGAAGAGATCCCAAGAAGCATCCATGAGGAATCTGACCCACGTCAGCGTCGCCGTCGTCGCCGCCGCCATTGTCGTCGTTCCCCTTCAGGGTCGGCGGCACCAGCCGTGAGGCCTTCGCAATCACGACCGTAGCCCCAGACCTCATCATTCTGCGTCATTGTTCGAACCGGACCGATCTGCAGGGCCCGAAACGGGGCGAAAACGCCCAGTGTGGAAAAATGGCAACGCCAGGATCTCAGGGTCGGGAGCTGGACAGGCCCGAACCTACCTGGGCAGATTGTCAGGCGGTCCCGTGCGAAAGCGCTGGTCCTGAGCGCGAGGAAGTCTCAGGCCACAGGCGCATCTGGGCGAGTTGTGCGCGAGGTGTCGAGCGGGAGGCGCTGATGTTGCCACTGGGCCAAGCTGGGCCTTCATCCACGTGAGTTGAGAGGAACCCTGAGATCCTGGCGTTGCAATTTTTTCACAACGGGCATGTTCGCTCAATTTCGGGCCCCGGGACCCTTACAGATCGATCCGGCTCGAAAAACTGACGCAGAAAGATGGGGTCCGGGGCTCCGGTCGTGATTTCTTGCGATGTCGCATGATTTTTTGCAACGGCGGATCTCAGGGAAGGCAGAAGCGAAATCGCGAAAGCGTCATCGCTGAATGGGGAAATCTCAAGCCAGGGCGTCTCGAGATGCCCTATGGAGAGGTATCGGCCAGGAGTTTTTGTTTCTGTGGTTGGGCCCTGACGCCCTGACCGAGCAGCAAAAAATGCCATGGAGCTTCGGGCGAGGCCAGAGCGTCAGTGCTGAGCGCAGGGACGTCTGCCTGGCAAGGGCGTATACTCCTCGTCGCTCGGACGTCCATTCCCTGTGTTTTTTTCGGTTTCGTGCGTGGCTTCTTCGCAGGATGATCCAGGATGCTCCTTAATAATCCCCGCCGAGAAAAAGTGCACACGTCCGAGCGATACCAAGTATAGGCACACGTCGTGAGGAAGACAGGAAGTACCGAGGGGGAGCCGTTGCCGTCGCAGCCCAACCTTCAGAGACCCACACTTGGAACAGAGCCCGCGCTCGAGTGGAAGGCTTTTCCGCAGCAGGTACAACCAGCGCCGAAGCAATGGCGTGCGAAACCGACTTCCACAGGTCCACAGAGTTCTACGACGACGACGACGACGACGAAGATGACGGCGACCCCCCTTCTTCATCAATGTTGGCATGAAGGGAAAAGACCCCGAATGCACTGGGCCATGGACCCCACGGCTTTCCACAGGGACCAGCTTGTCGTCCTGGGCCGGTACGGCTAACACTCCAGGGGCCAGGGAAGGGCCCTCCGAGGTGCACGGAGAAAAAACTCGGGGCGCGTTCCCATACAGGGGGATTTTGGGCAGAAAGTTTTAAAATACTCGAAAAGTACCCCCCCAAATGCTAGAACATAGTTTATATATATATATATATATATATATAAAAAAAAAAAAAAAAAAAAAAAAAAAAAAAAAAAAAAAAAAAAAAAAAAAAAAAAAAAAAAAAAAACCTGGCGAAGGACCCAACCATATGCAACTGTGAATACCGCAAGTGTGAATATCGTTTTCGGCGGCGCTACCTCTGGGTAGTGGAGACGCATGCGAACACCCCCACTGGGGCCTTCGGTGGAGCTCCCTATGGGGCTACGAAACGCTGCCCTGGGTGGGGGAACCGCATGCAGGCAGCCCCACTGGGGCCTTCGGTGAAGCTCCCTGTGGGGCCACGAAACGCTGCCCTTGGTGGGGGAACCGCATGCGGGCACCCCCACTGGGGCCTACGGTGGAGCTCCCTCTGGGGCTACGAAACGCTGCCCTGGGTGGGGGAACCGCATGAGGGCAGCCCCACTGGGGCCTACGGTGGAGCTCCCTATGGGGCTACGAAACGCTGCCCTGGGTGGGGGAACCGCATGTGGACACCCCCACTGGGGCCTTCGGTGGAGCTCCCTATGGGGCTACGAAACGCTGCCCTGGGTGGGGGAACCGCATGTGGACACCCCCACTGGGGCCTTCGGTGGAGCTCCCTATGGGGCTACGAAACGCTGCAACCGCATGTGGACACCCCCACTGGGGCCTTCGGTGGAGCTCCCTATGGGGCTACGAAACGCTGCCCTGGGTGGGGGAACCGCATGTGGACACCCCCACTGGGGCCTTCGGTGGAGCTCCCTATGGGGCCACGAAACGCTGCCCTGGGTGGGGGAACCGCATGCGGACACCCCCACTGGGGCCTTCGGTGGAGCTCCCTCTGGGGCTACGAAACGCTGCCCTGGGTGGGGGAACCGCATGTGGACACCCCCACTGGGGCCTTCGGTGGAGCTCCCTCTGGGGCTACGAAACGCTGCCCTGGGTGGGGGAACCGCATGTGGACACCCCCACTGGGGCCTTCGGTGGAGCTCCCTTTGGGGCTACGAAACGCTGCCCTGGGTGGGGGAACCGCATGTGGACACCCCCACTGGGGCCTTCGGTGGAGCTCCCTATGGGGCCACGAAACGCTGCCCTGGGTGGGGGAACCGCATGTGGACACCCCCACTGGGGCCTTCGGTGGAGCTCCCTATGGGGCCACGAAACGCTGCCCTGGGTGGGGGAACCGCATGTGGACACCCCCACTGGGGCCTTCGGTGGAGCTCCCTATGGGGCCACGAAACGCTGCCCTGGGTGGGGGAACCGCATGTGGACACCCCCACTGGGGCCTTCGGTGGAGCTCCCTATGGGGCTACGAAACGCTGCCCTGGGTGGGGGAACCGCATGTGGACACCCCCACTGGGGCCTTCGGTGGAGTTCCCTATGGGGCTACGAAACGTGTGAGAGGTGTGCCGAGAGCAGAGGCAAGGAGGGGGAGGAGGGAGGAGGGGGAGGAGGAAGGAGAGGAACGCGGGGCACCGTCTCTTCAAAACGAGGACCCAACACCACAGGATGGATGGAAAAAAAAAATCTCCTGACTATTTTTTACTATCTTTGAATATTCCCCCTGTAGAGGGACAGGCCCGACTTAATCCGTGGAGTAGAAGAAGCTGCACGAGCACAAGTTGTCAGATGTCCGCGCGGTCTTCCTGGATCGGAGCAGGGCCCCCCCCACACTCCCTGGCGCGTGGAGCGCGCTGGGGGCGGCGCCGGAGGGGCCGCCAGGCGGGCCCAGTCCGAACCAAGAAGTTCGCGCGGACCTAGAACAGCATGCTTATGTAATGCCGTTTCCTTCTGGTTTCTTCGATTTCCTCCGTTGAGCATCGTTCAATCGGTCCCCATCCCCACTTGAGTGGCCTTGCCCCCCTTGCCGATCTACCTCCTCCGCCCGCATATGTCGCGGGGCCTAGGCCCGACTAGGGGGGGTGGGGCCTTGTGCGGCTGAGACATACTTCGGGGAAGCGTCCAGGTGGCTAATCCGGGGCCCAGGAAGGGTTAGAAACCTCGCCAGGGATGGCCACTGGAAAGGAGAAATGCCAGCCTCAAGCTGGGTCCCCGCTCGCTGGCCCCACCTTGGGCCAAACTCCCTCCTCGTCTTCGTCATCGCCCTCCTCCTCCTCCACCTACTCCTCCTCCTCTCCCTCCTCCTCTTCATCATCATCATCATCATCGCACATCCCGAGGCACCAGAGGCAATCCACGAGTCACAGAAGGAAGCACACAACTCAGAGGTTGGTCCGCCGCTGCCAGCCACCCAGGGCACGCTCCAAGTCCAGGACGAGGCACAACACCATGGAATAATTGACAGCAGGAACCTTGCACGATGTATGACTCATCAACACAACCTGTGAGGGAACGCAGTTAAGAATCACCGACAATTCACATGGCAGGAATAAGAACAACATAGATGCACAATGTGAATGCAGCATGTGAGCAATCCGACCAAGACAACGTTCGCAGAGACAATACATTGCAAGGACAACAAAATATTCACATAAGGATATAATACAAGTGTGGCGGGAAATTCACCAGTCCAGTGTAACGTGAGAAACATCAGAATGTGAACAATCCAACCAAGCCGTCGTTCAGTGAAAACGGGATTACTGTTGCTCACACGTTGCATCAGTGGGCGGTCCGATGCCACGGATGCCTGCGCCGCCAGCGGCGGCACCAACCGCAGGGCAGTCATCCCCCGCAGGGGCCCGAACACTCCCGCCAGCAGCATGCCTGTGCCTCAATCCGCTCAAGCCGTTGGCGTCGAGGCGCAAACGGCGGCGGACGAAGGGCTGCGCGATCGGCACAAGCGGCTGCACGGCGGTCC